ATGCTGACAAGCACACCAAACACCTTCCAAAACCTTCGCAAAACACCGCAAAACACACCACAAGCCTCACTGAACGTCTCCTTGCTACCGCGACCTTGCCCACAGGAAGCCGCAACCGCGTTGCAGCAGGGAAAATGGCCGCGGATCCGGTTCGTAAGTCAAGGCGAGTTTGTATCCCAAGGTAAATTTTTCCTGCCGAAGCTGGTCGTAACCCGAAACGTTCGTTAGTAGAGGCGTTCATATCCCAAGGTACCACTGTATTTTATGAGGCAACATAAAAAAACATTCCCTAACTCTGTGCCTTCCAGACGAATTGGCACAGAGGGAAGGGTGCTCTAATCCGGGACACCTCAAGGTCAGAGTTTGGAAAAGGATGCTGGGAGGTGCCCCATCTGGGCCAGTTTCATTGGGTGTCCTCTTGCCCACCTAGATCTGTTCATTAAGGTGTCATCAGATCTGTTGGGGAAAAGAGGATGGCACTGCGACTGGTTTGGGATTCAGAAGGGCAAGTTCTCTGCTCCCTTCTGAAAACTGCAATCCACAACTCATTCGGCCAACTCTCCAGGCAGGGAGCTCTTAAGGGAGTAAGAATTGGATGAAGGAGACCAGGTACCAAACAGGTACTGCTAGCAAATAATGAGCGATTACGTGCTTGGCCGACGAAAGATACTGCGGGATTCTCTGGAGCAGGTGAATCAGAACAACGCTAAGGGAACGCAAGCTGGGCAAAGGAAAAGGTTCACTTTTGCCAAGTCAGCAAAGTAAGAAGTTTGCAATTCCTTCTCACCAAAGAAAATACCCACAAGGCATAGATGGGCAGCTGTTTGGTAGCTAGGGGCCACAGGAAACATTTTTGGTAGCTAGAGGCCGCAGGTAGCTAGGGGCTCAGGGGACAACAATGCAAAATGAAGAGCATATCAAGCGTGTGATTTTCTGCTTTTCTTCCTGGCATTTAGCAGCTTCCTTTTTGTCCTACTGAGCAGCATTAAGAGCTTTGGAAATGCAGTTTTCAAGAATTTCTCGCTTAAAATAGTAGGACATTCTGTCAGAGAGTTTTGGCAAATATGGGCAGAGGTGGCTCTACGGGCACCCAAGCAGGGTTCCAGAGACTACGGGCAGCTATAAGGCTCCAGAACACCTTGATTTAAGATATAATTGGCAGCTTAAACCCAAAATCGACCTAACCGGCTGTTCTTTGTGGAAAGATTATTAACATTCAATCCATGGAACAGCCAACATGGCTGTAATAAACTGGCTCACTCTGCCGATTATAAACTGTACCCATGCTCAGTGCCAGTCTTTTATGCCAGGCACAGAGAAACAGCATCCTACTGAATCTCAGTGCTTGAAGGCTACCCGCACGACATCACACTGAGATAACTTTTTCTCTTCCACCCACTGTAATAGTAAGTGGGAAAGAGCTTGGGAGATGGGGCCAAGAGACACTGCCAAGGGAACGGTCGGATAAGGGAGGGTGTAGTCTGCAGCTGGATAGTGGGTGGGGCAAAAGGCTCAAAAGGGACACTCCCTAGTTTCCTGGGCTGTAAAGGAGATGGTGGGAGAATTGTACTTTCAGATTTGCAAGATTCCATTAATGTAGTCTTACAATAAAGTAGAATTAGCTCATCGGGTGGTGTTTCCTATCTGGTCTACATGGTAAGGCTGACACCCACCCACTTCAGCCTATTCTTCCTCCCTAGTGCTCTACCATCAAGGCCCCCAACACAAGGCATGCTTGAATCCCACTAACGTCTTGTTAGGACGAAAACCAAAACCAACCAAGCTATTCCCATTTCAGCAGAGCCTGGAAAAAGCTCTCCTCTCCAGGGAAAGAGAAACTTAAAAGCCAGGGAGCAGAGGCTGCCACCATGCAACAGCCACAGCACGGGAAGCAAAGAGATCGTGTGCCACAAGCACCTGGTTGCGAGAGTTTCAGCAAAGAGGTATACACTTCATGGCAGTCTCGCTCCTGTCCCATGAGAAAGCGAGCCACGCGGAAGTTCTTGCAGCGAATCTGCAGCTGGCAGCCAGAAGCATTCAGGGGTAGCTTCTCCACGGTGGCGATGTGGTGGTGAAGAATCTGGAGAAAACAAGAAAAGTAAATGGAGGTGGGGTGTGTGGGTGTCAACTAGGAACCTTCCCGTGGCTAAAATTGCAAAAATCAACACCAGGGACCATCTGTGAAAAAACAGCTGAAGAGGCAACACTAATGTCAGGCCTAGCCCAAAGAACTCCAAGAGACAATGCCAATTCAGT